CGGCACAAGACATTGTCATAAGCATAGCAATAAGCATAAGAGCACCTTCGTTTTGTCTTCTTAATCCCTTCTAATCCCAAATGTTTTTGTTTTCCATTGTACTTATAGCGCAGCGGAAAAYCASAAGTCAGTAATAATTCGTCGAATAAGAAAGCTATTGTCTTGTTTCACGGACTGASGRGCTTCCATTAYCCTGCGAGCAGAGGATGGGGGTGGCAAAATCCTCTGCTCGCGGGGTAAAATTCCATAAGCCCATGAAATACTCTTTTTTATGAGTTCGAGCGAATATATGCATTGATAATTATACCAACAATGACAATGTTAGTACATATCACACATAAAATGTAGCGAACRAGAAAATTTTCTCAGGCAGCTCAGTATAAAGTGCATTTTAGCAAAAAAAAACCATCTCATAACACTTTAAAATATGTTTTACAAGTGAAACATTACGCTTAACATTACGTTTATTTGTTTAATTCTTGAGAGCAGAACCGAAACAAGAGACTTAAGCCAATACGGAAACTTGTACGCATTTGATGGGCCTCCTGTGGTGACAAAATATATCTCAGCATTTTATTTCACCCAAGGACAGTAAAACGGATAATAACAGTGATTTTTTACAAGAACCCGAATAAATACTGAAAAAGCCGGRAAGAAATCCACTTATTACTAGTAAACCAGATAACACGAGTGTGTTAGTCTGACTAATATGTATTTTTGTACAGTTATCAAGGGGTATTTCCCAACACGGCGTGAGTATGTTGACTGAGTTCCACCAACAACCGGAAGCCCGGTTTATAACTCTAGACCGGCAATTTCCAAGAGCAAAACGGGGATTTTGTGATATGTAATTTTGTAGAAATATAATAGTGTGTGATTGTGTACCAGACTTCAAGGAAGGGATGTATTTTTTTATCAAAATTAAACTGGTTGTCCGCTTTTCAAGTATATAGAAGCGATAAATTTTTATAAATATCAACATCAAAAACTTTATTGCCGATCCAAAAGTCTAAACAATCGAACTGAAAGCTTTGTAAGACTGTCTCCGGTCGACATTCAGTGTTTGTGGGAAATCGTGTCAGTCTCGGTAACTCGTCGGTCAACGGGAGTGTCCCGATTACGTCACGAACTTAATCCCGATTGCCGAAATCGTCCGGATTACGACATTTGAAGCATGGGAATTTCCAGAGCTTTTATCGAGTTGAATTTGCCACCGAAAAGTATCAAAATGAAAGCGAAAATCAATTCACCGTTGTAACTAGATAAGAATGTTGACAAATGTGAAGTCTTGTGGTCGTATTATTCGGAAATAGAACAAATACCTAGGGAATTACACCGAGTACCTGATTGGCTATCAGCAGTGACGTCATTTAATTGACATAACTTAATATACCTACCCTCAGCGTTTCTGCCTTATTCTCTCAACCAGAACAAGAAATTGTATTTAGGTTGTCGAAATCAAAAACATTTGCTCTCTTCAACCATTAAAAGATTCCATTCACTGGTGTAAGATTATCGAAGAGTTTTCTAACGTTCAAAGTTGATAATTGCTAGAGAAGATAAGGAAGAATGCGGGTCTTGGTCGTCGTTTTGGCCGTATTTTCTCTCGGCATTGTGGCGGCTGTACGGCATGATATGATAGACATTGATGTTACGACTATTAAACCTTCAGTGGAAACTAAACACAAGTCAGCATTAAATTCTGGCGACGATGACGACGATGGCTCGGCTGATGTACAATCCGACGATGTTAGCGGCAGTGGAAGCGGGCAATCTACGAAAGCAACTACAACAACAAGCAAACCAAGAATGATAAATATAAATACCGACGCTAAATCCACGAAACGTCCAACTACGAAAATGGGCAAAAAACCATCGACGGAGCGTATTAAAAGCACAGAAAAACCTGAGCTGTCCACGGAAAAAGTTGTCGAAGTAAAGAGAGAAGGCCCAACTTCTACTGAAGAGCCTTCTACAAAACACACCGAGAAAGTTTCAACCACCACATCGGAAGATATATTCGGCGGCGGGGTATCGAGTGATGGCGATGTGGCCGCGAGAAAGGGTTCTGATGAGGCTGTTCAAGTTCTAACCACCGAAGTTATTGCTGCTGTTGTCGTTGGAGGAGTTTGTGCTATTATTTTGATCGCTTTTCTCGTGTACCGCCTACGAAAGAGAGATGAGGGGTCTTACATTCTTACGGACAATGCTTTCAAAGACACCAACAAACTTCGTGGAGACACGGGCAAAGAAGCATTTGTTTAAGCTGCATTTTGTGTAAAAAAAAGCTTGAGAGTGAACTTTTGAACTCTATCAAGAAAAGACGACTATTCTGGTCGAAGAATAGAATAATATTGTGGCATAATATGCCACCAATTTCAGACCACCACAATATTCGCAGTGAGTAGATAGGTCTACCCGAGATAGGCCATATTCTATTAACACTTCAAACGCTCTTAATTTTACACCAGATTTTAGATGGTCTTTGAATTTTGTACTTTTAGGCGGCACATTAGCCTTATATCTATCGGTAATTTATATTTTTTAAGTTGTTTTTTACGTATTTATCGTCGAATAATTTCGGGATTGTAATGCGAACGAAATATTAGATCATTTGCATGTAATACTCATTGATCATGGTAAAAACCGCACATCATATTCTCGCCAAAAGTGTTGAAATTGCGGAAGATATTTGCTTCAAATTCCGTCATCTTAGCACTAAAACGGCGTTCAATGTGAATTGTAACAATATAATGTAATCAAATGTTTTTATAGCAATGTGAATAGAGGCTATATAGTACTCTTCAAAGCTTAAAGTAATTCGTGTTTTTGGAAGTAATCCAAACAAATCAGAAAAAGCAATCAACGTGCCGACCATACAGCATTTTAGCTCGGTCTGAAACTATAAACTATTCGACGCATAGCATGTATGAAAAGGCTGAGTGTTTTGGGCACACAGCAGTGAATTCAAAGCAAAGTTAGTGTCAGGCCTGTCTATGGTTGAAAATTGCTTGGACGGCCGCTTTGACTACCTTCAATCGTGCCTATTTGCTCATGAATAATTAAACTTAGTTGGTTAGGCGAATATAAACCAAATATCTGTTAATTTTATCGTGTTTTGTATATTAATAAAAGCAGAAATGTTCGTTTATGGTGTAGTTGTTCCATTTCTGCCTATGTTGCTAGATTTGATTCAGGTTATTGACAGATTGAGTATAAATTTTATATGTTGACTTTAGCGCCGTGCTCACCGGAATTGTGACCCAACTTCTTGCAGAGAGATCTGCTGGTTTTTACCCCCACTRMAACACGTCTTACATCCCATTTCAACGCCGAAATCACTGAAAGAACTTCCGCTTAAATCTCGTGATATTTAACTGAAGTATTGATTAAAAGTATAGCTAATAGAATTCATCTCAAAAGTTTTGATTTTCAACCTTAAATGTTTGGATTTCGTATCGATGAATAACTCGGATTTGTACTGAATATTTTCTCAAAATAATGGTGTTTAGAAGTTTTCAAGTATGATCATTACTGTATCTTTGTTTCAAGTAGACAACCGCCTWTATGAAAATGCAAASTATTTGCGGCAGCGAGGACACGGTTAACTGATGAGAGGATTAACAATCTAGTGATGTATGCTTGGAAAATTGATTGAAATTCTCTCTCAGTGTGATTTCTTCGAGAGTATTATTGTCAKAATCGGAAGTGTCGTGATTCCCACGCATGGAAAATACAAATAGTCATAAAAAAGCTAACGACCCACACCAGGTTGTCAGGTATTACTATTGTGAAGTCTTGAGAACACGTGAAGTTAACCCTGCTCTTTTGTGTTTCACAAAACGCGTTGTTTGCGATCAAAACAAAGTTGTTATATCAGCAAGACCCCTCCTGGCGTTACCGTGATCACGTGCGAATGTGTAATAGGATTTCCGTTCAAGTTTTCAGGGATGAAAGAATGAAAAAGATAGTGTGTTTTTTTTTCTTTTGTTCAAATGAGCTGTGATGAAGTTGAGGTTGGTGGGAACTAGCGGTAAACTAGTGTGAGCTGCGTCGGTGTTTCTAAGTAAAGAAACAGTTATGTAAAAAGATAAATTTAACACCGTAAAAACGTAGGTCAAATAAAACTTTCGGACGTCAATCCTTCGTCGGAGTAAACGAGATGGAATTAACTCTATATGATTGATGATGATGAAAATGATGATGATTACATTTTTACATATTCGTTACATTTATAATCAATTGACTAGAGTATTTATGATTTATAAAGCATTGAATTGAATTATGATGATTAAGATTATAATGGCTGATAATGTATGATAATTCATTAATGATGTTTGTAATGACACGAATAATTCTAATAGTGAATGATGAAAAAATAACTCATGAAGGATAATCAACAATATATTAATGATGTTATGAAAAAAAAGTTATGTAATGTCAACAGTTACTTGTCGATGGCATCCAAAGAACATTTGATGATTAAGTGATCAAACAAATGTTAAGAGTCAAAACAATCTATTGTACACAAATGACCTTGGCATCGACTCCAAGCAACGGTGTTAACTACCGAACTTTCATATTCAGAGCAGGGAATTACAGTTATAGACCTGTTTTCAAACATTTCAAACCTTGAATCTCACTTGTGCCGAGTTCAACATGCATGTGCATGTAAGTCTACCCACTCCAAGATACCTCAAAAGCCTGCGGATCTTACAGTAATAGGTAAAAAAAGGTACACCATTATAAGCGTGGGAGGCAATTGATATAATGTTGCTATTTTTGTTTTCACGATTTGTTTCATGACGCTTTATGATCAAGTGTTCGAAAACTCCAGACGTTGTTAATAGCCAGCAACAATTAACGACTTGAAATATATCAAAACTGACGTGCTTTTGTGATGCAAAAATAACATTATATACCAATCATCGTTCGTTGTTAGGGATGCTTTACGACTTTAATAACAAAATGACTTTCATCTCGATTCATCGGCGGTTTACATTTCCCGCGTAAAATATAAAAAGCCGGTGGAAATTAAACTATTTTGTTGAAAACAATATCAAAACACTGAATTAAATGAATCTAGATATTGTTAGTTATTTTCAAGAAGTTGTTTACAAAATGTCAAGTGTTCCAAGCATAGTGAGCTAAAAATACAAAAGAAGACTTTGGTTTATCACTACAGATTAAACAACAGACTAGATTTGCGTCTGAATTATGTCTGAAGTTGAAAGAAGACTCCCCCGCCATTTAATGTTCCTATTTCCTTTCAGATTGGAACTGAAGGTGGGCGTCTAAGAACTAATGGCCTTTTCTCTATAGTCGCCTTTTGAAACGAATTCTTCTCTACTAACGCTACAATCCCCGGCTACAAGCCATCATATCCATACGGCATTTTTGAAGTCAAATATCTTTCGAAGTATGCACTTATATTCCGCTCAAACCCCTTCCCCAGAGCAATCTTGGGAGTGTCTTTCGATTGACATTCTACTGGCGTTCAATCAAACAACATTGCCCCGGTGGAAGGATGTTTGAATATAAGGGATTCGAAAGGAGACATTGTGGTCCTTTTCTTAGTAGGGTGTCAAGGTATATTGTCAGCGATTGTAGCTCCAGGGCATAAGGGTTAACTCGTGGGATGACCAGCTCATCCTCAGATACCTTAATTGCATGTTTTATTTGTCAGTTGCCAATCTTCCTGGAGAATATCCTGATGGATGCGCAGTTTTTGTAGTCTTCGTTGATATCCCCTGCGCTATATTTCTGCAGTTCAAACAACGATTGTCTTTAGATACTTAGAAAAAAACTGATGAAATGCAGTTTAAAGGACTATAATCAACCGTCATTCAATGCGATCGTGTTTTAGGATTTTTCATGTATAGAGAGTAAGGCTTTCAAATATCAATTGTCAATGCCCGGCCCTTTCAATCCCGGCCGTATGCTTTGTGTGTAAAACGTAATCTTACATTATTTAGTCTCCATGACTAATGTCCAAACAATTGTCACTTAAATACGTTTTGCATTGAGTGTTTATTCCCTTGAGGAATCTAAAAAAAATTACAAAAAATTACAAAAATAAAACGATTGCTAAAGAAAACGCGTTAAAATGATTTGGATGACTAGTTATATAGTATACTTTGATTTCCAAACAAACAAAAGCTCAAAGGAATTCTGGTTGACCATGGCCCTTTGGTTGGGAATGCATCTTTATATGGTGAACAATATACTGTCGTTAACTAAACCCACAAAACTAACGCAATAAAAGTGATACCTATATAATGAAGGATTTGTTTACCGCAGGGTAATGAAAACAAGCTTTTTCATACCACACAGGAAACACCTCACTTTCCCTTAAAACTATTTGTTAGCGTTGAATGCCGACGAAAATATAACACTCCAATAATGAAACACCAGCGTTTTATAAAGCGGATTAAACATTGATTATTTAAAGATCATGCAGCTATATGGGGCGACTATTACGTCATTGGCGGTGTGAAAACATACGGTTCTATAGTCAAAATAGGCCGTGATTATGATTTGCTCTCAAGCGATAGTAAAAAAGCTGTCTTTGCACTTTGAACTAAATGCTTTTTCAGATGGATTAGTCTGTGGTTCGATAGTATATTTCGCACATTGGATCATCAACCGACGTGTCGCAGGAAGAACATGGATTGAATCTGACTGCGAAAACAAATTGTCGGAAAAGTGCTCCGAGCCGGGATTCTTTTCCCTGATTTTTAGATTACAGTCTGCATGCGCCTCATGCAGACTGTCGCTATTAGATTTATTTTTGTGGCATCCAGTTGATTAATATTACTGCAAAAACTACACCGAATAACCGAACGATATTGTTATAATTTCATGCTGTGGTCGGTGGCTTGTTGTGCTTATATATTGAATTTTACAAGGAGTTTTATGAGCTTAAG